TTTGTTTTTTTTTCTTTTATTTTAGTCTATAAAAACGTGTAGAATCAAAAAGTCACTTATCCAATATGGAAATCTGTTGTATCAAATTATGTATTACAACAATATAAAAATAAAATTCTTACCCAGCCTGTTGTTCCAGTGCTATATTGAAAGAAAAAAAAAAAAAAAAGGGTCCTAGCAGTACTATTCAAAAAAGGAACTAGGAAAGAACTGTAAGAATAAAAATCACATGCAAAAAGTTCGGATTTCTCACCAACTATGTGACACCAATATTTGCTCAAAATTAGTAAGGCCAAGATAGGATGTCTGGATCTATGCTTTGTGATTATCCTGAAGATGCGTCTTACCGCTGACCTCTTTAGTTTCTTTTATTTGCCCTTTATCTGTGGAGAGATGGAGACATATGCCAAGAGCCTGCCAAGGCATAATGGGCATTTTCCCAGCATGCTTCATGCTTAAGTTAGTAGACTGAATAATCAATTTGTATGTCTTCTTCAGGCCCTCTTTCATATACTAATATGTTCCCACAATAACTACTACGTGTACAGGTGGGACTCATGCTTCCAGAGCTGTACCCACAGTTGATTGGACCAGGGACAAGGGACCATGTCCAATCAGGAAAGTAAGAGACAGTTTGTCTGCCTTGGAACTCCTGAGGGCTTTCCGAGTTGTGGCTCAGGAATACCTTGAAAACCAGATACGCTTCCCTCTCTGGGTTCCATAAAATATTGCTATACGTTTGAAAAAAAAAATGTAATTTTTTATGTGTTTGTTTTGCTGAAGGTAGTTTCCATGTGTTTATATCCCTTTATAACCAAATTATCCCTGATGAAGACACTGGGCATGTGCTTGGATAATAATAATTACAATAGTAGGCAAGAATTTTAAGTACTTACCATGTTTCAGACACTATTTTAAGTGCTTTATGTACATTAATTTTCAATCCTACCAACTGCCTAAGATAGTTGCTAATATTATCCTCAATTTACAAATAAACCAAAGCACGGAAAGGTTTAATCACCTGCCAAAGTCACAGAGCTGATAAGTGGCAGAGCCAGGATTCAAACCTGTGAAGTCTGGCTCTAGAGCACGCGCTTAACCACTGCCATATAATGCCCAGGTAGGCATAGCGCTTGGTGTCTCTCTGCTTGGGTTTGTAGTCACTAATGCTGAAAACAGAAAATGGTAGGTCTGAGGAATTCCAAAGTGGAGAACTTCCAGAATACGAAGTCAGGGAAAGCAATGGGAAGATGAGAGAGTATCAGGTCTGGAGATGCCAGGGTCTAGTGTACAGTGATCAGAATGCTGCACTTACTGCCTGAGAAGTTTGCTGACATCCTTGCCTGGAGCAATGGTGTGGAGTGAACTATGAAAGGTATGCCTTTTGGAGGTAAGAGGAACGATATGCCTTTGACTTTTAGCCTCTGAAATAAGAGTTTATAAATTAAGGCAGCAACTTATATACACGAATCATTTGCTGAGTGACTAGGTTCAACAAGTTTTTACTTTCCTTGAAAGATAATTGATTAAGATGCTTTGAACTATATCCTTTCTATTGTTAATAAACTCTGAGTGCTGTAGTGACTGGCAAAGATTAAATGTATAAGCAAATAAATAAATAGATGGGTTATCATAATTTTATGAGGTAACTCCAACAATTGAATTAGTCTTTAGCATTTCATTACCAGAACTGGCACAGACTGAGCATTCTGCTACCTGAACAGATTTCTGCAAAGATACTGCCACAAGTCATGCTTCTAATTTCCTCCCCCTTGACAAGAGACATCGGAAATATCGTGAAACGTGGCTGATTTTTATCCACTGCGTTAAACAAAGCACCTTTTGTTACCTCAATCACACTCTGTTCCTTCATGGGAAACACTCAGCATGACTCATGGTACCTGCCGGTGCTTATCACCTTGGGCTGTGTAAGAAGTAAAATAAAAATGATCAGATTTAAAGGGCCAGAGGTAATAAGGGTGCAGAAAGAAAATCATCTGGAATAAATGGTTATATGAGGACACGGCAAATGCCCGGTAGCTAAGTGTTGAGACTTGGCGGTGCTTCCAGGTCCCATGTCCCATGAAGGTAAAACAAAATTTCCTACATTCTAGGCAGTAGGAAACAAATCAGTGACCCTGCAGGGAGAAATGCTCGTGATTGCTCTGGTACTTATGTCTAGAAGCAATAAGAAGACGAGTCAAAATCATTGCAGGATATTGAGAATACCTTACTGTTGGCAGGTGAACATACAGTTTGGTATCCAGGTTGGGATAAGGGAGATAATGTTGATGAATATGTCTATATAAAATGTTCACAGATGGAGGCTCCTAAGAAATATGATTCACTTTTCTTTTTACCAATGAAGTCAACATGCTTTTTAAAAATTTAGAGACTGAAATTACAGATGAGCTACTTGTGCATCAATGTATCTTAATACCCTTTGTACCTTAGAGGTCCAGCTACAGGAGTCCCTATACCTTGCACTCTGATTTGGGAATTTCCTGAGAGCTGCAGCCCTTGTTGTGAGCCTTTAACTACTGCAATAACGGCCCCTTTTCATCAACTGGCATTTTTTTTCTGGCAATTTGAGAGGAATATCCTTCAATTTCATGGGGAGGGGAACAGAGCTACCATACCAGGCAGTTTTATAATCTACAATTTCCTTATCTATTATGCTTTTCCATCATTGATCTAGGTTAGGATTCCCAAACGTTAGTGAATATAAGAATCACTTGCAGAGATAAAACTTTTATACAAATTCCTGGGATTGTCCCCGATAGTTCTGGGGGGGATCTAGGAATCTAGTTTTTTAACAGTGACTCAGATGATTCCTATGTAGGTGCTCCAAGGACCACATTTTGGGAAACACTCTCCTAGGGTCGCCAGGTTTGCAGGACCTGTTGCTTAGCAATAACCCTGGCTAGGGCTCTGCTTAATACCAGTTTGGAATTAGGTTCGGAGAAGAGCTAGAGAACAAAAGATGAATCAACTGGAGAGTCTACTGCAGGCCCATGATGCAACTATCTCAAAGCATGAGATTGATGTCCCTACAATGGGAAACAAGTCTCATTTTTGATAAGTGGAGAGGAACTTAAGAGCAAGTTCCTAGGAAAACGGAGTTTCCTAACATCTTAGATCTATCCATTCTAGTGATCAGAATCTCACTCATTTCCAATCAGATAACCAAGATTATTCAGGGAGGTAAGATAATCAATCTCCTGACTGAGATCTGCAATCTCAGAACAGTAGCCCTGCTCTCAATATGTTTATGGCCTGGAAATCCCAGAGAAGGGTGTCTCTCTTTGATGCTGTTCTTTACTTGAGGTTGCAAGGCATACCAACACATTTTGATATAGTTTGGTTGTCATTGCTATCAAGTCCCCTAAAGTTCTACTTTTGACCAGCACAATGTCTAAGTCCCAGCAGGAAACCTGTGATAGTCCAGTCAAATCACCAAACAGCTGTATATCATGTGGCTAAATTTGCTCCCTACCCCTCATACCCTGTTTGAGATCAGAATTTTCACTTTAGGGCATATGAAAAAAAAATAGACCTACTGCAAAAAATCAAATACAAAACTAGTACTTCATAAATGTTTCATGGTAAAATGGATGAGAGGAACTATTATATTATGCACAGCTTTTTGCTTAAAAAAGAAAATCCTGTTTTCCCAAACAATTTAATAAACCACCAAGTTTACACAGTCCGCTAAACAAAGCCCTTTAACACTAGAATTCAGGGGAGGAACCAAACCGTGGATGAAACTCAAAGCTACCCCAGTGAAGTGAGGAAGGTCTCTTGTAATTAGTTAAGCTTTCAACCCCTGACTGCCTCTGCAAATTAACAGGAAGATGTTTCCCTTCTTATTAACCACCAGCTCCTATATGTTCCTTTCCTTTGGAATTGAAAATAAGTCAAAATGGGAAATATTTTTGGCTCCTGAATTGATTAACTGCTTGACCAACATTTACAGAAGGTATGCGTTAGGACCTACGGGAGCAATTTCTTAAAATAAGTACTTGCAAGTTGCTTTCTATTTGCCTAAAGTGATCCTTCCCCTTAGACTGCAGTGAGGTGACTGAATGTCAGTGTTATTACCTTGATGGCCAACAACGTGCCTTTCTCTAAGGGCAGTGGCCTCGTCCATTTGAGATGACATTCCCCAGTAATACATCATGTCTGACACTTAACCCTTTTACAGCTCAGTGGAAATACAAGCCCCTGCTGTTTTAATACCTATGGTGGAATCAAATGTACTCAGGGATGTAATCGCTCCTTGTTAAGGGAAGTCTTAGCCTTCAAGTAGCCTGTTTTTAATGTTTTTCAAAAGCTCACAGCTGAGAGGAGATAAATTTTCAGCAAATTGCTCATATTAAAGTTTAATTGTATTATTTTTGCAGAAGAGTGGACTACTTCATGCAATTGATTTTCTTTTACACCAGATATGGAAATATGAGAAGCAAAAGTCAAAGAGACAAAATCTTGGAATAGTAAAGTATAATAGGGTATTAAAGATGATGGTGTCTAATCTCCTCATTTTACAGGTGAGGAAAACGAGGTCCAGACAGGAGTGTCACTGCTCTTCAAATATATCACACTTTCCACTGACTCTATCTGTCCTACCTCTGTCTGGAACTCGCAGCTCTCTTTCTTCCATTTGGCCATCTCTACATACTCTAAAGCCCCAACTTAACACTGCAAGTCCATAGCACTTTGTTCTTATGATACACCTCTATTGTAATCTAACAATATTTTATTAAATAATTCTGCACATTTATCTCTTTAGGGGAAGTGCCTTAATTATCTTTTTATTCTCAGTTCCAACTACAGAGTTGCATTGTACAGAGAAGTTACTGAAAAACATCCAAGTGACTTGCTCAAGGTCACACAAGTAGCCATGAGAAGAGCCACTGATTCATTGTTTTTTCTTAAACTCTGTTCAGCTAGTACTATTTCTACTTCATTATGTTGACTCAAATATTGTAGAAGAGTCGGTTATGTCTGTTATACTTCTTTTTTTATCAGGATACATTTAGAAAAGGTGTCAAGTGCTGAAAAGGCTTAGCCCACTACACTTTTTTTTAATATTGAAAAAAAAAATTAATTGGAGACATTGGATCTCATCTTCATGGAAAAGAGAAACAAAGACAACAAGACTTTGGGATTTAAACAGCATAAGATTAAAATGCTGGTTCTCCCACTGTCTGTTTTTGAAATTACTCAGCTAATATAAACTGTCTACCTGAGAAATTATTCAACTTATCTGGATTTCCCTTTCTAAAAGGGGTATTATAAAAATTAAATGATGTTATGTTTGTAAGCCATGGACAGACTGCAGGCATTTTTTAGAGGTTACCTCTCTCTTGTCTTCCCCTGTAATCTGACGCTTTATAATTTCCAGTTTTTTTAATACATTTTATTTCATTTGAGTCTTATTACAGCTGTATGAGGTAGCCAGGAGAGCTGTTACCCTCTAATTATAGAGAAAGAAGATTATTTGTTTGAGATATGTTTCTGAGAAAATAAAATCAGGCATTTTTGCTTTTATCAATACAGTATCCAATCAATGCCAAGAATCAAAGCCAGACCTTGCCATGTGCTACAATATAAGATAAACACAAGCTCTCCCTTCCATGGACACCTGAATTTCCCTAGCAAATTCCAAAGGAATCCAAGATGAACCATGATGTGGTTTCAGAAAATCCACAATCTAGTCTGACAAGGACTAGTTTGAGTCAAGTATACTATCAATGTGATAGGATTATAAATAAATCCAACCACAAAATATAAATCAAACAGAGAGGTGATTGTCATTAATTTGTAAATGAAATATGCAGACATTTCTTTCTACACACCGGGGCACTTCAGTTTACAGACTATCAATATTTTCTCTTGGTGGGTCAATCTATTTATCACATGTTCAGTCATGCTGATGGTTCCAAAAGCATTTGGACAGCTGGTAGACCCATGAAGCGCTAGTCAACCCTTATATAAAAGAAAAGATAGAAGTCAGATTGCTGAAGTACAATGTTGCCCATGATTCCTTTAAACAAGAGTAAAGAGTAGGAGGTGAATTTACGCTCGCCTTTAAACAAGACATGAAGCTGGCAAGTGGCTGCAGGCTTTTAATTGAGCTGTCATGAAAAAGGGGATGTAAATAAATATGTGTGCCTAAAACTGAGATAAGACAGCGACTGCAATTCCATAACCCAGTTGTTATGCATTTATATGGCACTCACGTAGGAGACAGTGGACTCCTGCTGAGTGGATGTGTGGGGATCCACAGCCCTCACCGTGGGCAGCTCATCTCATTTCCAGGCATTCACTATTTCACCCAGATATGGTCTATAAGCACATGAAGGTAAGTCCAGAGTTTAACAATAATGATGGCACTCTGTTGGCCAAAAATGATATTATTTGAGGCCTCTGAATCTTCATTCCCTCTGTAGATGTGCTCTTTGACTTTCCCTGGACACTGCCAACAGGAGAAGTGGCCTGGGAGAATCTCTGTTCTCTTTTAAGGTATAATGTGGTTTTTCTTGTAACCCCTGGTTAACCTCTCTCTTCTTCAACTTCACATTTCTTTGGACCACATCCTACAGTTCTCCTTTCCAAATCCTGGAATAAAATGTAATTGGTACTGAATAATATATTTAGACATAGAGTTGGAAAGATGTGGGAACGTTTAAAAGAATCCTGGAAATCCCACGTGCTAAGTTTCTAGAAGCCAACTCTTTACGATTTTTCTTCCACTGCCACTCTTCCCCTTCTTGCCTGCACACATATACTTTAGAATGTTTAGAGTAAAGAAAGAAAGATGGGTATGACAGCAGTAGATGACCAGAAGCCTCTGGTCTTGGGGAACTAGATATCTGATATTTGGAAATGAATTATGAAAATAAATCAATTTAGAGGCATGACTTTATCATATCATTTCTTTAAATAAACTTTTGTAATAGTTTTAGATTTACTGAAAAATTGTGAAAATAATACAGTGAGTTCCCTTATACCTCACATCCAATTTCCCCTATTATTAACATTCTACAGTAGTATGGTGTATTTGTCATAATTAACGAATCAATGTTGATACATTATTATTAAATATTAATAGAAATTATATTAAATCAACATAAATTAATATTAAATAAATATAATTATTAAAGTCCATACTTTATTCAGATTTCCTCAGTTTTTCCTAATGTCTTTTTTCTGTTCCAATATCCTATCAGGATACCACATTACATTTAGTAGTCCTGTCTCCTTAGGCTCCTCTTGGCTGGCACAGCTTCTCAGATTGTTCCTTGTTTTTGATGACCTCGACCATTTTGAGGAGTATTCATCTGGTAATTTGTCGAATGTCCCTCAGTTGCGATTTGTCTCATGTTTTTCTCATGGAGTTACCAGTTTTAGGTAAGATCATGGAGGTAAATTGACTCATCATATCACATAAAGGGTAATACTACCAACATGACTTATCACTATTGATTTGACCTTGATCACCTGGCTGAGGTAATGTTTGTTAGGTTTCTACTGTAAAATTACTCTTTTTCACCCTTTCCAAACCATACCCTTTGGAAGCAAGTCATTATGTGCTGCCCATACTTAAGAAATGGGGAGCTGTGCTCCTCCTCTTTGACGGCTAAGTATCTGCATAAGTTATTTGGAATTTTGCATGAGAGGTTTCTCTATACTGCTCCGTTTATTTATTTATTAAATCATTTTTTATGTTAGTATGAACTCATGGATATTATGAATATTTATGGAACTCGGGATATAATCCACGACTACTTTATTTATTTTGTTCCTCAAATTGTTCCAGCTTTGGCCATTCCTCAGACTTAAAGTAAGATTTTCAATAAGTCTTCATTGAACATATACTATGAGGTCCTATTTATTTATCTTTGCTTTCATTGCTTGTGTTTTGGTGTCATATCCAGAAAATCATTGCCAAGACCAATGTCAAAGAGCTTTCTTCCTATATTTTCTTCTAGGAGTTTTATGGTTTCAGGTCTATGTTTAAATCTGTAATTCATTTCAATTTAGTTTTTGCAAGTGGTGTAAGATAGGTGTCCAATTTCATTCTTCTGCATGTGGTTATCCAGTTTTCCCACCACTATTTATTGAAGAGACTATCTTTTCCCCATTGAGTAGTCTTTGTTCCCCTGTCAAATATTAGTTGACCATGTATGTAGGGGTTTATTTCCAGGCTCTGGAACCTGTTCCATTGGTCTATGTGTCTTTTTTTATGCCAGTATCATACTGTTTTGATTACTGTAGCTTTGCAGTATGGTTTGAAATCAAGAAATGAGATGCCTCCAGGTTTGTTCTTCTTTCTCAGGATTGCTTTAGCTATTTGGGGTCTTTTGTGGCTCCACACAAATTTTGGGATTGTGTTTCTATTTTTGTAAAAAAATGCATTGAAATTTTGATATGGATGGCATTGATTCTATAGATGGCCTTGGGTATTATGGCCATTTTTACAGTATTAAATATTCCAAGCCATGAACACAGGATATCTTTCCTTTTGTTTGTGTCTTCTTCAATTTCTTTCATCAATGTCTTGTAGTTTTTGGTGTACAGATCTGTCACTTCCTTGGTTAAATTTATTCCTAAGTGTTTTACTGTTTTTGTTGCTATTATGAATGAGATTATTTTCTTTATTTCCTGTTCAGAAGTTTTGCTGTTAGTGTATAGAAACACAACTGTTTTCTGTATGTTGATTTTGTATACTGCAACTTTACTAACTTTGCATTCTGGCAGAGAATGAAAGGCAGGCAGAGGCATGGGAAAGCTTTATAGTGGAAAAAAGGGTAGGCTCAGCTGTGCCCTGACAGGAGGCTGTTGGCATGGGAAGCTGTAGAGGGGCTAACTGGAAGTGGGGCACCCTATGTTATTGGTTAGGGGTGCATATTTGACTTTCTCTGGTTGGTCCTAAGTTGGAATCAAGGGCAAAAACTAGGGAAGTTGTCAGTTATTAATCAAGTCTTGGCTATTTTGGGTCAATTGTTACAGAAGTTATTGTTCATATTTCTGGACTGTTACTAGAGATAGCAATCCTACTTCCTACAAGTATGACTTATAGCAGGCTGGCTTTAATAAAGGCTGGAGAATTTGGGCAATTTTGTAATCCAGAATGTGCAATAAAGTTTGTTTTTGTGAGCAAATATTAAATGCTATGTTATTATTTGGCTATGTTCAAACATAATATTGAAATGCTTTTCTGTACAAATTTCTCAGAAAATAGAAACTTAAAATCTGAAAACGTGATTGAGTATCTTCTGGAAGTGAGATTGAACTGAACACACTTCAGTTTCTCTACTCTGGACTTGCCAACAGATGGAACTATTTTGAGATGAGGCAGCAGAAAAAAATAACATAGCCTCCAATGTGTACCTCCAAGATATTTCATCTTTTCATTTTAGGGGCTATGAATGCATATTAAATGCAGCCATTTGGTCTAACAATGCTTCCTATTTGAAGGTGCATTCAAATTTAAAAAATTAGGCTTTAAAAAAAGTGGATGTTTGTTGTCTTCTTGGAATATTGCCAACTGGAGCAGTAAACCTGAGTGAGTCAGTAAGCATCAAGAGAGAGAAATTCATTTAAATTAAGAGCTAGAACTGATATTTTTATAGGACACCTGCTCCTGTGTGCTGAAGATCTATGATCAAAGTGCTAAGAATATAGAAATATTTCATATTCATTACAGATTTGCTAAGTTTGTGGATCACATTTTATTATGTGAAATTTATTTTTAATTGAATTTTTCCTCTCTTGCAGGTTTTTTAAGCCAGTTAGGCATTGATACCTTTAGCTGTGAACACCTGTAGCGTCTTCTCTGATCTGCTCTTCACTAGCGGAACGCTGGGTCTTTCCAAGGGAAATGAAAGTTGCTGTATGTCTCCAAACCCGAGGAGGAGGGAAGCAGGTTAGGCACCATATCATGACAACCTCCTACTGAACAAATGGGCCCAACAACAGCATTTTGAAAGGTGATCCAGCTGTGCAAGCTGAATCATTGCTCACGGTAATTTTACTAATGCATCCCATCCTGAATTTAAAAAGCCTGATGAGTCACCCTGTATGGCCAACTGCTTACATTATTAAGCAGAACATAAAAGCATTTACATACATTGGCATAATACATTGCTGGATCAACCAAATTAAATCCTACTTTTATAGCCCTTCAAACTTCACATGGGCAAAATAAATGGTCCTTTAACCAACAGAATGTGCTGGCAAATATATAATTAAAATGTCAGCTGTTCTATTCCATTTCAAATTTTATATATTGTTTTTCCATGAAAGTAGCTAACCAGTACACATGAATCTGAAGGAGAATAAGGACTAGGATAAGTTGCCTAATATGCTAAAATGATATCCATGTGAGGATATAGGACGTTTTCCTGGAATGGCTTACCAAAAGAGTACCCTTCCATTAAGTTAAGAGAGGCAGAGAGTAGACTAAATTCTCTCTGAATAGCACATTGAGTCTAGAAAATTTTCAACTTCATGAGAACCAGATTTATATGAGGTGTCTTAAAGTCCTTTATAAAGAAATAGCAATGTTACTGTGTTTGAAAAGAGGAAGCAACTTTTGCCAGGTAACAATAGTGTTTCTATTCCTGTGGCCATTCTCTACCATTATGATCATCACTCATCATTTATGGTACATGGCACTTTTTATCTTCAGAACATTTGAGGCATTTTATCAAATTTTCCACACATCACTAGGAGGCCCAGCTGCCTATAATATCCTGGATATCACACCGTACTTTTGAAAAGTGTCTGGGATTTTATTTATTGAGTCATTAATGATAGGAACAGAACATCTATATTTATCATTGTCTCTAAAAGAACACAGTCAGTCATTTGTCCAAGACTTGAAAGTATTTGCTTATAATAATCTCCAGGGAAAAGATGGGATTGTTTCCCGTACTGCACATCTTTTGGTCATGCAGTGCTTTCTCACTGTGCCTTTTATATGTTTGCTGTGTAACTATATCATCCTATCATGCTATGTCATCAAACACCTAGTATGGTCCCTAAACATTTACACTTAATGTTCATGAGATAATCATCTCATATAAACAACACAGCAGTATCAAATCATCCTAAAGTTACAGGAATCTTGAGGAATCACTATACCACTTCACAGATGCTTGAATATCTCCAGCAATAGGTAACTCACCACCTTAAGCAACTTGAGGAGGTGCTGGTTTCTGAACCCATACAGAGACCAGAATACTAAGGTGCATGAAAGGGCAAGAGAAAGGGCTGGACTTTTCAAGGTAGAAAGGTGAAACTGAGATTGCCATATAAAGTCAGAACCTCTGTAGAACTACAGACTTACCAAATGGGCATACTAGGAAAAAAATCTAGACATCACAATAGGAAGAATCAGAGAAGTTTGTTTGTTTGTTTGTTTGTTTGAGGTCTTCTATTGTTTGTTTATTTTATTTCGGCTCTGCTTCTGTGCTTGGAAAAAGTCTCCTTCACTAAGAATTTATAGCATAGGCATTTGAGATTTAAATTCATTATACCTGAATGAATACCTATCCCCGAGCTAATAAAAAATAGTCCTTGATCAGTGACAGCTCTGGGGAGCTTGGTATAAAACACAAAATCTCTTGCACATCTCAAATGAAGCCACCTAGAAATCCCCCCAAAAATCTCAACAATAAATCGTTTCATGAACAAAAGGTATAAAACACATAAGGAAATAGTCTATTATAATTGAAAGGGCTATTAGAATTAAAGAACTCTAAGATCTTTGTATCTTCCTCGAGGAAGGGGAGATATACAATAATTGTTGAATCTGAAGAGTCAAGTATGCATGTTAAAAATTTAAGGGTACTTATGAAAAATAGAAAGAGAATATACAATGTTAAGTCAATGGTGGTACATGTGGAGAAGTAATAAACTCTAGAAGATAGGGGGAGAAAAGAGAAACAAGAAGCACCAAAAATCAGGTAAAATAGATAGCAACAACTAAGATGTAAGAAATAAAATGTATATTAAAAATAAATGGGAAATTACGTTTCTAAGACGGTGGAGTATTCCTTTCCCCTATTTCTGCCAATAAGTACGATGAAAACTTGGACATTCTAAATAACATAAACATGAGAACACTCTGAAAGATGGCAAAAAGCAAATTGGCAGGGGATCTCAGAACATAAGGAATAGCACAGTGATGATTTCCCTGAGTTGTCTTGTTTGCTTCATATATTCCATACTTGGAGTTGAAGTAGACAGAAATCCAGAAATACCAACAAGTGCGGAGAAAAAGAGCGCAAAAAAGCCTGCTCTCTTTTCTCAAAGGGGCAACCTAGAAAGATAGGAAACTTTGGGACAATAACCACTCTACTCCAGTCAAACATCACAGAAAAAACTGTGACCAAACCCCCACCCACATGAGAAAAGGCCAAGAGGGAAACCTAGAGTTCCACCCTCATGACACTGCAGGCAGGTGCCCCAACACCCCCATGAGGGTAGAGTGAGAGAAGACCAAGTGGGAGCTGGAACTCTGAATCCTTTTGACCAGTAACAAGTTCTCACCCATGAAGTATCAGAGGAGACTATACGGTAAGCCTGGATTTCAATACCCTCCCAGTACTAACAAGGTGCCTCAATCCCTTTCTAGTGGGGTGGCATCAGAGGAGGCCCAGGAAAGAGTCAGGACTTCCACCATTGCCCACAAGGAGGCTCCTCCCCGCTCAGCTGTCACTGGATGGAGAGTGGGGACCATGGACTTTTTTTTTTTTTTAATTTTTATTTATTTATTTTTCTCCCAAAGCCCCAGCAGGTAGTTGTATGTCATAGTTGCACATCCTTCTAGTTGCTGTACGTGGGACGCGGCCTCAGCATGGCCAGAGAAGCGGTGCGTCAGTGCGCACTCGGGATTCGAACCCGGGCCGCCAGCAGCAGAGCGCGCGCACTTAACCACTAAGCCACCAGGCCGGCCCGGGACCATGGACTTCTAATTCCACCTGGTAGTAATAAGGCAGTGCCCCCCATTCACCTACCAAATCAATATCAGACAAAGCCAGCCAAAATAGCAGGTTTAAATAACAACCAGCATTTGTAATATAATATGAAAATGTCCAAGTTTAAATGGAAAATTATTCATCATACCAAAAATCACAAGGAACTAAGTCAGAATGAAAAAAGATAGACAATATATATCAACAATGAGATAACAGATGTTAGAATTATCTGACAAAGATTTTAAAGCAGCTATCATAAAAATGAATCAATGAACAATTATAAAAAATGCTGCAAAGAAATGAAAAAAAATAGAAAATCTCAGCAAAGAAATAAAGTCGCAGCGAAGAAATAGAAGGTATGATGAAAAAACAAAAGGAAACTTTAGAACTTAAAAACAGAGTAACCAAAATAAAAATGAATAGGCTCAACAAAAAGATATAGTGGACAGAGAAAAGAATCAATAAACTGGAATATAGAGGAGTAGAAATTACCCAATCTGAATCACAGAGAGAAAATAGACTTAAAAAATAAGTAAATAACATGAGAACCTGAGAGACACGTGGGATTATAACAAAAGATTTAACATTCATGCCACTTGGGTCTTGGAAGGATATAAGAAGGAAGGCTGGGCTGAAAAAGAACTCAAGGAAATAATGCACAAAACTTTCCAAATTTGGCAAGTGACATAAACCTACAGAAAAAAAGAAAAAAAAAAAGCTGAGTGAAAACTAAACAGGATAAAACCAAATAAATCCACCCCAGACACATCATAATCTAAGCTTCTGAAAACTAAAGGAAAAGAAAAAATCTTGAAAGTAGCACCAGAAAATGACACCTTATCTATAGAGGAAAAACAATTAGAATGACAGTGGATACCTCGTCAGAAGCCACAGAAGCCAGAAGCAAATGTCACAATATTTTTCAGATTTTAAAAGAAAAGAATTGGCAACTCAGATTCCTATACCTAGAAATATCCTTCGGGAATGAAGGTATAATCAAGATATTTTCAAGTGAAGAAAAACAAAAAGAATTTGTCACCAGCAGACCTACACTAAAAGAAGGGAAGATGAACACAGTAAACAATCACATAGGTAAATACAAAAGTCTTTTTCCTCCTCTTGCATTTTCTAAATTATGTTTGATAGTGAAAGCACAGATTATAACACTGTTGGATGTGGATCTAAATGGACATAGATAAGATATTTAAGATGATCGTGTTACAAAATGGGAAATGTTAAGGGACTTAAGGTGAGGCATGGTTTCTCCACTTCACTCAAATTGGTAAAATGTTAAATTAGTACACTGTGATAAGATTTATATATATAATGTAATACCCAGAGCAACGACATAAAAAGCTATAAGAAGAGATACAATCAAAAACACTATAGTTAAATTGAAATTCTAAAAACCATTCAAGTAACTCACAGGAAGACGGAAAAAAGAAAACAGAGAAATAACAGACAGAACAAATAGAAAACAAAAATTAAAATGGTAGCCTTAAGCATTTGTCTCAGAGAAATGAATATTTGTGTTCTCACAAAAACCTATATGAGAATGTTTGTAGCAGCTTTATTTATAACAGACAAAAACTGGAAACAATTCAGATGTCCTTCAATGGGTAAATATTTAAACTGTAGTATATACACAACATTGAATACTACTTAGTAATTAAAAAGGAACAAACTATCAATACATAAAACCTGGATGAATCTCCAGATAATTATGCTTATGGAAAAAGCAAATCCCAGAGATTATACAGTGAATGATTCCATTTATATAACCTTCTTGGTATGACGAAATTATGGCTCTCTTATGATTGATCTTTGCATGATAGATCTTTCCCTAACCTTATACTTTCAACACATTTGTATATTTGAATGTAAAGTGTGTCTCTTGTAGGCAGAATCTAGGTCATATCTTTTAATTCACTCTGACAATCTCTGTCTTTTAATGGCTGTATTTATACCACTTACATTTAACAGAACTGTTGATGTGTTGGTGCTTAAGTCTGCTATTTTATTTTCCATTTTGTGTTTGTTCTATGTTTTCTTTTTCCTGTCTTCCTGTGAGTTATTTGAATATTTTTTAGACTTTTGATTTATCTATACTGTTTCCAAGCGTGTCTTTTTCTATAGCTTTTTAGTAGTTGCTCTAGATATTACATTATATATGCATAACTTATCACAGTCTACTAATGTTGACATTTTACCATTTTGAGTGAAGTGTAGAAACCATACTTAAATTTACCTTTCCCTTTTTATACTATAATTATCTTAAATATTTTTCTTATTGTTCATTTAGATCCACATCAGATAGTGCTATAATTTTTGCTTCAACCATGGAACATAATTTAAGATATTCAACATGAGAATGACAAGCTATTATATTTATATGTGTTCACTGATACCAGCCTGGTGGTGAAAGATTTTTACTCTTTTCGTTACTCTTTCTTCTTGATGTTGTTTCCTTCTTTTGTCATTTCTTTTCTTTTTAGAAGACTTCCTTTTGTCATTCTTTTTAGAATAAGTGTTGGCAACAATTCTCTTAGTTTTCCTTCTTCTGAGAATGTCTTGATTACCGCTTCATTCCTAAAGAATATTTTCACTGGATATAGAATTTGAGGTTGAAATTTCTTTTCTTTTCACACTTAAAAATGTTGTATCACTGCCTCCTGGCCTCCATGCTCTCTGATGAGAAATCTGCTGTCAGTTGAATAGTTTTCCCCCTAAAGGTAGGTGAGGTATTGTTTTTTTCCTCACTGCTTTCAAGGTTTTTCTTTGTCTTCAATTTTTAGAATTGACTATAATGTGTTTTGGTGTGAATTTCTTTTATTTCATCATGTTGGGGTTCTTTCAGCTTCTTGAATCTGTAGGTTTATAGTTTTTGCCAAATTTGCAAGTTTCAGCCATTACTTTTTCAGCCTCATTTTCTCCTCTCCTTCTGGGACTCCAATGACACAAATCTTCAGTTATACTCCCATAAGTTGCTGAAGCTGTGTCCTTTGTGTGTGTGTGTGTGTGTGTGTGTGTATTTTCTCTCTATTTTTCAGGTTGGGTAATTTCTACTTTCTATCTTCAAATTTACTGGTTCTTCTTTCCTCCTCCCCATTTTTCTGTTGAGCTCATTCATTGATATTTTTGGTATTGTATACTTCAGTTCTAAATTTTTCCATTTGGTTCTTTTTATGTCTTCTATTGCTTTGCTGAGACTTTCCACTTCTTTGCTTTGTTCAGGTTGTTCATTTTTTCATTTGCTTTAAGCATTTTTGTAGTTGCTTCTTGAAGCACTTTTATGATGGCTGCTTTATCACTGTAAGGTAATTCTGACTGTTATCTCAATGTTGGCATCTTTTGATATTCTTTGTCTTTTTTTGTTCAAGTTGAGATTTTCATGGTTCTTTTTAAAACAAGTAATTGTCAATTGAAACCTAGACATTTTTATACTATGTTATAAAACTTTGGATCTTATTTAAAATTTCTTTTTTACCTGGCTTTCTATGACGCTGCTCTAGCAAGGAAAGGGGACATGGGAGGGTGTTGCATTGTTACACCCAGATCAAATAGATGTCTACAATCCTCATTTCACCTCCAATGACGTCCAACTAAGGGTGGGGGCTCCTCATTACTGCTGGGCAATGGTAGGAGTTCTAGCTCCCCAGTAGGCCTTCACTGATACCACCCTGGTTGAGACAGGCTAGAGTGCTTTATCATTGCTCCTCATGTTGCTTCCACTGATTCAACAAGGTGGTGGCTTTGTTATTGCTGGATGGTGGTGAAAATCCTGAGTCTCCACTAGGACTCTTCTGATGCCATCCCAGCAGGAAATGAGTGATGTTCCTCACTACTGCTGGGTGATTGGTTAGTGGAAAAATGTCCAGGATCCCCACATTTTCTCTGGTGACACTGTAGGAGACAGGACGGGATACATTACCACCTGAGAGGGATAAAAGCCTTAGCTTCCTACTTGACTTTCTCTGATACCACCACAACAGTGAGGGGTTGTTGGTGCCTCATTTCAGCTTGGTGAGGGTAGAAGTCTAGACTTCTGATTTGGTCATTGTAGGCTTGGGTGGGGATAGAGTGTTTTCTGTGGTATTTGGCTGGAGAAGAGTGATTATTGTCTAAAAATTTTCTGTTTTGTTATGCCGCTCCCATCCTGGTCCTTTTCCAAAGAGAGCAGGCTTTTGTGGAGGCTTTTTTGGGGGGAGGGAGGGAGCAGTCTGTGCTCATTTCCAAGTTGTTTCTTCCAGTGTGGGATAGATGAGACAAACTGAAAATCTAGAGAACTCACTATGTATTGTCCCTTGGGCTGAGGTCCCTAGCCATTCTGCCTTCTTCTTTCTAACCTATCAGAGTCTTCTTACGTGTGTTTTATACATAATGTCTGACAAGCTTAGTTGTACTTAGGAGGAGGAATAGGGAAAAGTACATCTACCCCATCTTTCTAAAAGTGGAATTTCTCTGGTTTCCTTTTTGAGTCTTTTTGTTCCCTGGAATAAAATATGTTATAGCCAAGAGAACTTAATATTTGTACAGCAGCTTGATATTCTCTCATATTCTGTCTATTAAACTTGGATTTCTGTTCTCCTATGTTTCTGCTGTAACATTTTTAGTCCAGAAAGCAATATCCAAAATAGAGACAGAAAAAGAAAAAAAAAATTATGGTTAAGTTGTACTTTCTTTATCATATATCAACACTACATTTTGACAACTTCCCTCACTCCTCTGGGTAGCAGCCTTATTTCTTTTTGGTCTTCTAGTGTTTAATGTAATTTTAAATATATGTGCTGATTTGTCTTAGCATTTTTAGAAGTTTGCATATTTTCAATTCTACCTGCTATGATTAATTTTTGTAAAAATTTCTCATTTTACACCACCATTTATTTAGTGTCCATTAAGCATTTTCCCAGGTGACATGTGTTTTGTCAAATGACTATACTATTATTAATTTTAAAATGATGTGATGATGGGTTTTAGAGTTATTTATTCATAAAAGATATTTATTTATAAAACATAATGACTACACAGCAAAATAAATAGACATGGGCACAGCCTTCATGGATTTTGCAATCTAGTGAGAGAGAGAGAGAGATAATAAACAAGTAAGCAAACAAAAATATATAGTAGTTGTATATTGTGGTGAATGCTGTAAATGACTTGAAAATGTAAAGGAGTGGAGAATAACAGGGTAAACAAACCTCGGAGGGTCATCAAGGAGGTAATAGTTAAGCTAAGACTTGAAGGAACAAAAAGAAGTTGGCCCTTCAAAGAGTGAAATAGAGAGTGTTCTAGGCAATGAAGGGCAAGAGAGAAAGCTGAATGCATCACGAATGGACCCAAGAGGCGCAGTGAATGGCCCCACCACATTCTGAAACTCCCTTCTAGGGACCATTTTCAGTCTGATTTTCTTCAACTTTTCAAGATGTTGCTTCTGCCTGCCATCTGCTCAGGCAGAAGGTGGTCAAGCCTCAGGGACATTGGCATTGCAAGTTTCCCTGATGCTGCAGAAGCCTCTGATCACTAGCTGACTACCCATTCCACCTGAATTAAAAAATCTAAGAACAGTAACATTTTCTAATTTATCCAATTTCCAAAGTACAAGGCACAAGAAAAGAAACTAAATGAAAAGGAGTATTTTGATGGAACAATTGCAAACTGGGAATAGAATACCAGCGTTCCAGTCCCAATTCTAACATGCTTCACTTTATTCTATGTATGGGCTATTGCTTTTACTTGAGAAATTATTCTTTTCTCCCTGGGAGGATAAAAAATCTTAGCAGTGAAAAAGACCTTAGAGATTCTATAGTACAGCTCTTAGCAGCACAACCAGGTATACACCAATTTCCAACCTCCACATCAGGTGATCTACTAAACCTGACGGCTGTTGCATATAAAATCTGCCTTGTCTTAGCTCCCAGGTTTTAAACTAGGATAAATGCTAAGTAATCAGCTTACATGTGTATGTATGTATATAGTATTCGAAAACATAATCTACATATGTTTCTTAAAATACAAGTATAAAATTGTTGCATAAGTGCTTTGATTTCCTCAGAAGAACAACTAGACATATCCAAGGAAATGGTAGTGTCACATAAGATGAAGCTACGTGCTTACAGTTTTCTACCTCCATGTGTAATCCTACCTCTGCTGAAGGCAAAGATGGTTAACTAGTAATGCCCAGGGAAAATGAGACACATAGAGCATTTTCTTTTTCAGATAATGTTGAGCATCTTTCCAGAGAAGAATAAGACCTAACAAAAGGGAAAAGCATGGGAGAGATTTGTTTTTAAGTGATCCAAACACCAACTGTCAGCCTCAAAGAAAAATAATATGTGAGAAAGAAATAAAAATGAATGATGACTTATTCAGGACATTATTAGCAGGGGCATGAGAATTTTAACGATACAACTTATAAATTGTTCTCCTTCTTTCCAGAACCAAGGCATAATCTATGGCCAAACATGAATCTGGCAAGAACTCGATAGACTTCATATTCCTGAAATTTTTAAAATTTTTCTACTTTGGCCATAAGTAATTTAAATGAACATAGTTGGACTCCAGTGACATCCCCTACCTTCTTTGTTGCCTACTGCACTCATTTGACCTGACAATCCGCATTCTACCTCTCCCAGGACCAACATTTTCTAAAGTATCTTCTGTGAATTCCATTAAAATTTCAAGATATGTCTCAGAAAAAAAGATTCCATGTTATGTTAAATTTGAGACATGTTGAATGAAAGAAACCTATATGTACATCTTCTCCAGAGCTTTTAAGAGAATGAGCTGCATTTCCCACATCCTTTTGAGCTTTGCACTCGTAGAACTTTCAGAAGCAAGGAATGCTTATCCTTCTTTCTCCTCATCTGCCTCAAAGCTTGTATCCTACAACACAATCATCTAATCTAGCTTTTGCATAGCCCAGAGTAAACACCAGGGAATTCATCCTCAATATTCTCACCCTTGTTTTTCTTTTTCCTTTTATATCATGCATCTTTTGCTAGTTATAAATAACAAATTCATGCTCATTGGGGAAAATTCTCCAAACTATACGAAAATTAAAATCGTCAGATTTGATATTGTATAAAGTTATCTTAAAGTTTATATTTAGCAATAAATACTTGAGAATAGGCAAGAAAATCATGAAACAAAAGAACAGGCATTAAGGTAGTATAAGACTTTGCCTTACCAGGTATCAGAATATACTAAAAACTCACTGTAATGTAATCAATGTGTTAGTACATAGGAATAGACTAATCTTAGATTATTGGAATCAGATAGAAAATCTAAAAATATACCCAAGAAACTATGATAATTTAATGTGACAAAGGAGTATTTGAACTCAGTGGTAAAAGATGATTTATTTTAAAAAGGATACGTAGACAATAGCTATACATCAAGAAGAAAATAAAATGACATCCCTTTCTCACATCATACATAAAAATAAACTACAAATGGATTATACACTTAAATTTATCTTTTTAATGAAACAATAAAACCTTAGCAGAAAATCTAAGAGATTATGTGTTTAAAGAAGGGAAGTCATTTTTAATCAAGATAAGAAACCCAAACCTACTAAGAAATAAATATTTGAGTACATAAATATGTAAACTTTTGTAAGCCAAAATATAAAATAAAATATCAATACGTAAATGATTGACTTTGAAAAAAATAATGCATATAACAAACTAAGTGCTTATATTTGCAATCCACAAGGATTCTTTAAAAACACGAACGACCCTGTAGAAAAATTGGCAAAAATAGGAAAATGCAATTCACAGAAAATAGAACATTCTAATGACAAAATTAATAATAATTAGATAAATTAACCTTAAGGTAACCATAAAATATAACCTACACCATTAAGATTAGCAAATATTTTTTTAAAAGAACAATAATGCTGGCAGAGATATGAGATGGAAATGTAAATTGATGCCATCATTGTAGAATTTGGAAAGAAATCTGGCATGAGCAATTAAAATTAAACATATTCATACCGTTTAACACTGAATTCTTGCTCTTGGTAATATTTCCCATTAAAAAAAATTCTCAATATATAAAAACTTATGCGCATAGATGATTAATGCAGAATGATTTGTAGTGGCCAAAAATGCACCTAGGTTCTCTTCCACTAGGAAGTAGAAAGAGGATGGAAAAAGCATGAATCCCACACTAACAATAAAAAAACTTGGATTAATTGAAAAATCATAACTTTTCTTGACCCCCTCA